CCATACCCCCCCCCCCCCCCTCGGTATCGGATCTTCTCTCCCTTTTATATCAGCTACCCCCACCTCAATCTCTACCCTCTCCCCCCCCCGATTCCCGCCAATTCATCCGGGGTTTGAACTGCTACTGTTAGCCTGTGCAATTCTCTAAGTCCCTGGTATCAGTACCCCGTTGTTCGGTTCTTCTAGGCTCGGGTATCGGCAAGGTTTGTGCCTCCCTTTCTGTTTTTGACACAATGGACAGCACTCCGGCGAGAGCATCTTCTCTCTTACCCCGAGTCTCACAGAGAACAATATACAAATGTAAGGCACAATGGACAGCACTCTGGCGAGAGCATCTTCTCTCTCACCCCGGGTCTCACAGAGAACAATATACAAATGTAAGGAGATGGAACACAGATTGTGGAAGAGGGGATATAATTAAATGGCAGCAAGCATGCTTTCGACCAGTCCACAGTGCATTGGTCCAGGGCCTCGGCAGAAATGAGGGAAAGACTATGAGGGAAAACAAAACTATCATTTCTCTCAGTCAGCTATGTAAACTATAGCCTGTGTAAATCAAGGTGAAATGTTTTCATAAGCCTTTTTAAAGAGCATGTGGGGTTTCCTTTTAAAAAGAAAGACATTATTTGAAATAGCTGTCTCCCCCAAAAGAATGCAAAGAAAGAAACTTGAAGATTGACATGATGCAAATAAATAGCTTAACATAAAGTTTGGAAATGTCAAAGAGAAAATAGAGATGAGTAATAATAATGAACTGCACACTACAATGGAGGAAATTTAAAAGAATAAAAACAGGGTGTAGATTCAAGGAAACAGGAAAGTTCCCTTCCCAAATGCATAAAAAAGAACAATGTCACTATAGAAGAATGAAGAAACTGCCATAAAATTTGTGTTAATGTCAATTCAGATGTAATCAGAGTTCATACAATGCAGATTTAAAAGATTACTTTTAATAAAAGTAAAAAGAAGGTTAAAATGTGATCCTGCAGTCAGGGCTTATGTATATTTCTGTTAAATCCAGCTGAGTTCAATAATAGCTACTTTTCATATGTCAGTACAGTTATAGTGGTAGAGTACAACATAATCATACTTACTGCATTCTGTTATCTGTGGAATTCAGTTCAGATTTTATTGTAAGTATATTTTCAGTAGTAGACTAATGGCATGGTAATAGCATGCTTGCTCGGAAACAATTTACATTATGCTCATTGAGGTTTACTGCTTGGGAAGTGTATGTAAGATTGCAACTGTCAGGTTCATGAATTCAACCCAGTGCTTAGATAAAGCTCCGATAGATTAAGCATGTAAAACTGCTAGAGAGAAAATACATGAATGGATGGCTAAGTAGAAAACTTTGGGAGAATAAGAATAAAATTTTGCAGAGAGTAAGAAGACTGCAAGAGGCGATATCACTATATGCAGCCATTTGCTTTCATGTGGCCTAAACATGTGAGGAAGAGAGTTTGTCAGCTCTACCCCTTCCGTGCAAATTTCTGTTGCTGTCCTTACATGGAAAAGAGTTTCATGCAGAGGAGGATCTCTGGCTTTGGACACTCTCAACATGAACTGGACTACTGATTTTCCAGCTGCATATAGGCGCCATGGAAAATGAATACCTGCCTATGTCTTATGTAGTTCACAAATGATTCATTGTCATAGAAAAGAGAGAGAGAAAGATGAAAGAAAAATTAAAGACAACAAAAGCAGTGCGTATTCATTTGCCAGTACAAGTGTTCATTACTGAAACAGATTCCCTCTCCCCTCTGCATTCCCCCAAATGGAGCCAGTATCTATCATAGTTGGAAGGTCATTTGGAGCAAATACTGGTGGCATGCAGGTGGCTGCAAGGAGGCGGACATGGCTCAAGTTCCATGAGTCAAGGGCTGCTAGTGCATCCTCAGATGTCCTCTAATAAAAATAAAAATCAGTACCTCTGTTTATATGAATATTAAAAATAGAAAATGTGAGAGTTTTTTAATTTAAAGTGGATTTCTGAAAAAAATCACATACAGTAGGAAAAAAGTAGGAAATTACTAGAGCAGAGTATAGAAAACAAAGGTTAAATACTTACTGAGATAATCGATCTAAATTTAGGAACCTTCACAGCTCTGAGCATATATAATAATATATTCGACAAACAAGAAAAATGGATGTATAAATTTGTCTCCTTTATGAGACAACAATTAATACATTTTCCAGGCCAATGCTAGGTAAAATCTGCAATTTATAACTTATCATCCAATTTCTTTCTAGCATTCTATTTAATGGATTTCCTTGATATTTATTCATCTGTTCTTTAAAAATATCAAGGAAAGCCATTGAATAGAATTCTAGAAAGAAATTGGATGATAAATTATAAAATGTAGATTTTACTTAGCATTGGCCTGGAAAATGTATTAATTGTTGTTATGTGCTGTCAAGTTGCTTCTGAGGACAGGCTCAGTTTCAACAGAGATAGTTGACTGCCAGAGATAGTTTAGCCTTGATTTGATCTAAGATCCACTTATTTGTCTTTCTGGCAGTCCAGGTTGTCCACAAAGTGTGCAGATTTAGAATGATCCTAAGATGTCTGGGAAAATGAAAAAAAAATCATAGTCTGGTGCTGGAAAGAAAGCAGTGTGAACATCAGGCTAGCTACCTAGGGGGGAGCATTTCATAGCTGATAATTACGACCATCCCATTTTGTGATTGGAAGTTCAGTTCCACTTCTTTCTAGCTTTAATATTGAACACATTTTCTCATTTGCTGTGTGTGCCATCAAGTTACTTCCAACTTAAGGTGACCCAAATAAGGTTTTAAATATGTGAAATATTCAAGGAGTGATTTACCTTTACCACCCTCAGTGAGTTTCCATGACTATGGGTTTGAATTTAGGTCTCCCAACACTTTATCCCTTAAACCACATTGGTGCTTATTTGCCTTCTAAATATGAGCTTCTCATTTTTTGCTCTTCCCAGATTTCACTAGTTTCTCCTCACACCTTGATAGTGTCTAAACCATGACACTGTTACTTATTTGAAGATGAATCCTCCTTACTTTTGATATGTTGTTACATCCTGTTCTCTTTTGCTGAGGATGTTATCATGCACACAGTAAAAAGCAAGAGCAAATGAAGGAGCGCAAAAGGAACACTTGCAATGTATTCTCAAAGGCTTTCACGGCCAGGATCCGATGGCTGTTGTAGGTTTTTCGGGTTGTTTGGCCATGTTCTGGAGATTTTTCTTCCTAACGTTTCGCCAGTCTCTGTGGCTGGCATCTTCAGAGAGCAGGAGTAGAACTTCTACAGGAGCAGAAGGGAGAGTTCTACTCCTGTCCTCTGAAGATGCTGGCCCCAGAGCCTGGCGAAATGTTAGGAAGAAAAACCTCCAAAACACAGACAAACAGCCCAAAAAACCCCTACAACAACCATCGAACACTTGCATTTAGAGATGGGACTATTTGTATACGAATATGAATATCCCTCCCACAGGTGGAAACAATGAGGGTTTTAAAGATGTTAGCCGCTCCTGTCAGGAGGCAGGATGACAAGCCTCCCTGCCAGGTCAAAGAGTGGCTAGTCGACCCTCATAATGTCCACCTTTGGATGAGTATTCGTATATAAAAAAAATGAATACCCTCAACTCTAGTCAGGATGTATTGGGGGCAGCTGAGGAGCTGTAGGACCTTCAGTCATTGATCACCATAAATGAAATGGGATCCTCCTAATTAGAATGTGTTTTTTTCCAAGTTCTGGTTGAATGTATGGAAGAACAAAGCCCATCATTTTATTGCCCTTACCTTTCTCCCACATGGTAGAATTTTGTCCTCTTATACAAATGTTCAGAACAGAGGCATTCTATACCTTACTCATAAGTCAATGGTTCCCACCCCTGGGTAACCCAGGTGTTCCTGGACTACAATATGCATCACATGTTGGTGCTAAGCCAGGTTGTGCCTTCATTTAGAAAAATCAGTGTTAAAGATCTGCAAAAAACAATATGTCAGTTTTAATTACTTAAAAATGTTCTGTAGCTTCACTGCTTCTGGGATATATAATATGTTATGCACCTCCTTTTATTATGGCTAACACACAAATTTAAATTGAATGTTTATTTACAGCTGCTGCTATGTAAGTCGTAGATTAAATCAGCTTTCAAGTCATGATCCACTGTGGAGAAGACATTGTAAGAAATACTGGCTTTTGTCTGAGTAAGTATGACTAGTATGTGTGTCTTTTAGATCAAAAATAGCTTCCATTTGTTTTAGCATGCTCATGTTCCCTACTTTATTCAGAGTTATCCCCTATTAGAAGGGCTTTCTGTTTTAACATTTAAAAAATCATTAGAAGGGAGAGTGTGGTCTTTTGAGCATGCTCATCACCTGTGTTTGAGCAGACACAGAGCTCATTTGGAGTATGTGTACATCACATGGTAATAGCAGTTTATCAGCAGCTTAACTATCATGGCGTTATGTTTCTGCATCTTGGCATTTGTAGTCTATTGAAGTACTTAGAATTGTTTGCTAAAGACATATTGTGAACTCCTCTGAACTACAATGTTAGATCACTCTAGTGAATTCTAAACAACTTAACAGATGATAAATGGGTGTGGCTGGGACAGCAGTGTTAGTCCATTGCAGTAAAACCAACAAGGAATCTTTTGAACCCTTAAAAATTAAAAAGTTTCATGCATTGCAGGTAACTACTTCAAATGTATCTGAAAACTATGCTACAATCTACAAAATTCTTCAAAGCTCCAGATTCTGTAGGACAGAAGTCCCCAACCTCTGTGCCTGTCCGTGGCCTGAGCCGGACTGGGCCACGGAGACCTCCCCCCCCACCTCTGCACACACTCACACAGACACAGCTTGTTTGCGCCTGCGCACACATGCCTGCACAAGCGTTGCAATGCCCTTTGCGCATGTGCATGAGCATGTGACCGCATGAGAGCACACATGCTCCTTTGCGCATGTGCGCAAGTGAAGGGGGGGTGCCCTGCCTTCCTCAGCTGGTCTGCGGGGCTAAAAAGGTTGGGGACCGCTGCTGTAGGACATAGCCATCACCGTTACAGTGCTTTCAACCTGCTGTAACTGTGTGGTATAGTTATCCTTTTTGTCACAGTCACATTATGGTTCAAAGATGTAAAATTGTGTCAGTTCCTGTGAAACAGTCCATGAAAATTCAAAGGCAATTCTGTGCCTTTGTTGTTGTTGTTGTGTTATTTGCCTGCCTGATAAATGCATAGTTTTGCATAGCACCTTAACAGTTGTTGTGTACTTTTAGTTAAGGTTGATATAGTTGAATGACCACACACACATCAGCTTATCATGGTACCACTAAGACTTTGGCTGGCAATGGCTGTTCTGTAGATCTAGTAGAATAGTTCAGTTACTCAAACTAGTAGGGACCAAACAATTATTCCTGGCCCATAAGGTTTAATGAGGGCTTAATCTCTTGTTTACTCTCAAGAAGCAAAAATGGTGTTGCTTGCTTTCAGGTTGATTTGTTATGTTCACAAATTCTTGAAATATTAACAAAATGCAAAATTTTGGGGCTGCTATTTTCTATACATATAAATCATACTGCACAATCATTCTGATTGAAAGGAACTTTAGCACTGTCTTTATTTTTGTTTTTGAAGTCATCTTGTTCCATTCCACAATCTGCCCACCAGTGCTTTGAAATACTAGTTTCTTTGTTTCTGAAATGGGTTACTCCACACACTTCGCTGGACCGATGGCAAATCTCAGTAGTCAACAAAGTGTCTAAACAACAAAAGCAAAAACACAACAGTATTTATATACCGCTTGTGAACAATAAGTTACTGTTTACAAGATGATCCAGTATACACAAATATGTAATGTAATGGTGTTGCTAACTTATTTACATTACGTCTTGAGTCTTGTCACTTTCAGTCATGCTAGTTTAAAGTTGCATTCTGATAGATTGGTCATGTCACTAATTTTGACCGTGGAGTTACTAAAACTAAATTTCTTCTAACAAAGCATTCTTCATTAACACATGCAGCAAAGGGTTCCCTGTCTTCATTGTATTTTCTAGAATAGATTGATAAATGATTGTCATATTGTTAGAGTGGCATATCCTTAGTGAATCTTAAAATGATTATTTCTGTTTTTATTTCTGAAGAATATTGTGCTCATGAAGCTTACTTTTTTTAAAAAAAATTTGGCAGATTATTCAATAAGGCCATGTCCCAGCTAAAATTAAAGTCTTATATCCATTGAACTACAGTACTTGTTTAAATTGTCACTCTCTGGTTCAAAGAAAATAAAGTGTTTAAATTTGACTGGGTTGTAGCATAAATATGCATGTTTGTATGCTTGGTTAAGTGCATATGAGTTGTCTTTTTCTGTTTATAGGGAATCATGATGTAAACTTTCTCTCTCCCCAACGAAAATAAGCAAAATTGTTAGTGCATAAAGGGCAAGAAATGTGTATGTATGATATTGCTACTACTGTTTGTTTCTTTTAAGAATAGTGTGTGCTATTTTGCCTTTTTAGAGCTGAGAAGTCCCGAAGAAATAAGAGCTGGAAAGCAATCTTTATAGATATTTATGCTGATTTAGGAAGATATATTCAGTATTATGCTACACTTAAAAAAGCTTGGGATGATTTGGAAAAATATTTGCTGCAGCGTTGTCCTCGGATGATTAGTTCCTTGAAAGGTAATGTGTGACACTTTGGGCAACTTCTGTTTGTACACATTTTTCTCTGCAAATTGCAAATTATGTTTGCAGCTTTGACTTCATACATGTAAGAGCCCCCATTAGTGACCACCTTATTTAAATACTGCAAAACCCCACAGCAGCTCAGAAATTTTGTTGTGATCCTCCTGTGAGCCCCCTCTCCCAGTCCTGAACTGTTCCAGTTATTCTGACATGGATTAGGTTAAGTTATAGTTATTTTACTAATTTCCAATTTTACTTTAGGAATGGGGCCCAATTTAAGAAGGGGTCTATGGAAAGCCAAACATTGGGTCATTGAACACAGTATGCATGCTTAATTCTTTCTAAAGGCTCTTGCTAAAACATTTAATTTTTGAATACCCATAGAAAGTGTTCGGGAAGAAGATCTGGATGCTGTAGAAGCACAAATTGGTTGCAAGCTTCCTGATGACTACCGATGTTCGTTTCGGATCCATAATGGACAGAAGCTAGTAGTTCCAGGGTAAGAAGTTAAAGTTAACTGTAATTGTTCTTTAGTTGGCTGCCTGCATCATGATGAACATATCTGAAATATATGTTTATAGTTATTTGTACTACTTTTATCAGAGTTCTTAAAAAGTAAAAAAAAAATTTTTTTCTTTTTATTTCTTGTGCCACTACAAAGGTTGATGGGAAGCATGGCACTTTCAAATCACTATCGCTCAGAGGATTTGTTAGACATTGACACAGCAGCCGGTGGTTTTCAGCAGCGACAAGGATTGAAACAATGCCTCCCCTTAACCTTTTGCATCCACACTGGATTGAGTCAGTACATGGCGCTGGAGAGTGTGGAGGGTCGCAATTGTTACGAGATCTTCTACCAGTGTCCAGTAAGGAAGTGTTCTCAATAGTTCCTTTAGACAACAAGTAATGCTGCTTACCCACTGAAGTAGGTGAAATCGATGCAATATATTGATTGACTGTGTGTGGAGAATATTTGAAATCAGCTGTATTTCATCTTTGAACTGTCCTCGTGTCACTGGCAAAAAGGTTACAGGGATGTTCACATCCTGTGATGAAGGGGAAGAACCAAGCCTAAAACAGTACCAATGGCTGTAGTTATTTACTGTGAAAGAAGTGGAAGATTGGTTAGATATTAGAAAGAAAGCTTCACACAACAGAACCTACAGCCCAGTTGCTAGAAAGGCAGTAGAGCTTCTAGGCTCTACAATGGGGCTGAGTGAGACCTTCCTTTAGGAGGAAGGCAGTGGAAGACAGGAGAAAGAGAGAGAAATAGGCTTTTTGTTGTTTAGTCATTAAGTCGTGTCCATCCTGTTTCCCACTGCCTCCCGGAGTTGGGTCAAATTCATTCTGGTAGTTTCAATGACACTGTCCAACCATCTCGTCCTCTATCGTCCCCTTCTCCTCTTGCCCTCACTCTTTCCTAACATCGGGATCTACCAAAATGTTTATTTTCAGCTCACTAATACATGCAAATTTGTATTTCCCATGATATTTCATTAAGACATTATTGGAATATTTACATTTATATGGTTAATTTTAATTTTGCTTGTGATTTTGGTAACCAGTTTGTGATCTATTAGTTTAAGAGGGTCTGCATGAAGGCTTCTATGTTTCCTAGTTTATACCAGTTTACAGTAATATGTCACTATTTAGCAATTCAATAGGAAATCACCAGTTTATATATTACCACCAGTAACAGTTACCCTGTTATTGGTGGTAATATATAAAACACAATTTCAGTTTTTGATTCTCAGATTGTTTTTACTACCCTTTTGAACCACAATTTTTGCTTTTTAATAGTAGAGCATGTGCAGAATCCTGCTAGTATAAGTTATACCATCATAAGCCAGATCCAGATTTGATAAATAAGTAATTAAAGTTAATCAAACGTTTCCTTTCTCTCCTGTTTCAGGTCCCAACGTTTGCTAAAGCTCCCTTTTGCCCTGGGGAAGCTTAAATTAAGTGTTTCCAACACATGAATCCAATTTACCATGAAGTAACTTTATGCAACTGTATACCAGGAAAAAAGAATAGATAGATAGATAGATAGATAGATAGATAGATAGATAGATAGATAGATAGATAGATAGATAGATAGATAGATAGATAGATAGATAGATAGATAGATAGATAGATAGATATGACAAAAACACTGTGCTACTTTATAGACTAACTACTATATTTTAAAGTGAGCTTTTAATGTGGAGGAAGTGGACGTGATCCACAGAAGCTCACATTAAAATATGGCAGTTAATCTGCTATATTTTAAATGCCACAATGTTTTGGTCTTCTTTATTTTTTATTTTTGTTTTTGCCTAATATACTAGTACAGATTAGCACGGTTACCTCTTCAAAAAATTTGTAGAATATGTCAGATTATGTACTTTCAGTCTGTCACCAAGATGCATTTTTAGTCACTCATTTTTAAAATCCATATTAATCCATTAATTATTAATCTGTATGTCCTCTTAAAGAGGTGGAGTTGGGAGAAACCTATTTTCCAGTTTGCAAAATTATTGCTATTATCAATGAAACCAAATCCTCACAGATTTGAGTTTAAAAAAACAGCAACAGATTTTTGCTAATCCCAGAGAGGCCAGAATTAAAGTTTTCCTACAGAATCTTCATAGTTGTACCCAAACTTAATTGTGTGTGTGGAAATTCTGGTTTTTAAGGATATTAATTTCTGTTTCTTCCTGTTTTCAGGATCAAATGGCCCGTAATCCCTCTGCAATTGATATGTTTATTACAGGTACAAGTATTTTGGAGAAGGCACACTGAATTTCAGTAGCGTCATGAAATATGTCCACTGCTATAGTGTTTTTAACATGCAGCATTTGTTTATATTAAATTTCTATACTAGCAGGCAGGCAGTTTTCCTTCCAAAAAAGCAGTTTGGGCAGGTGACAAAAACCACAAAAGTAGCTTTGAAGGCTGCACTTAACTCCCTGCATCTTAGAAGCAGATTAAAGATAGAGGAACAAAGCAGTGCCTAGCTCTCCTCTCTTGGCCCTCTTCTCCTACGTCCTTCCCCTGCAGAGAAGTTCCAGATCTGTATGTGCAAGATAGAATGTGTCCAAAAAAGCAGGTGAACTACCTTTAGAGAACATGTGTTTTAATTCACTGTCCTGGCTGCATGTGTTTGCTGTACTTTGCATTTGCTGCATTTTTAGGGGAAACTATCGGCTCAGAGAAAGCTGTTTTTGTTTGTTATGGATATCTGGTTTGTTTTTTATTGCATTTCCAATCATTTGATGGAGCTTTCATTTTATTTTTCTTGTAACGACTTTCTCTTTTTCTTACTTTTAGGTAGCTCCTATTTGGAATGGTTCACCACATATGTAAACAATGTAGTAACAGGTGGCTATCCCATCATCAGAGACCAGATTTTCAGGTATTATGGGTTTAGTCTACAGTACATGATCCCTGGTGTCTTGTTGAGAATACGGGAAATAATCTTAAAACTGATCAAAATTAGGATGGTCATAAGATTGTAGCAGATCAGTGTTTGAGAAACTAGTAAAATAGAACATAGTTGCTCTAAAATATGTGGCATCAAACAAGCAAAGTATAAATAAATTAGCAGACACAAAGTAGCTTCTCTGGTTACAGAGGGAGATCAATATATGGATTGGTGCATTATTAAAATAGTATTAGTCAAATATTCTTTTCCCTGATTCAAGGAGTACCTAAAGAGTACTGCCATGTTTATGAGGGGAGCTTCTCAGATTTTTGTGGCATGTGAATTACTGTTTACTATAAAAGCTGTGGTTTCTGTTTTCAACATGTTCCTCTTCTTTTTAGATGGCAAGCATTAGGAACTGTGCTTAGGCAGCATGGATTGCAGTATAGAGCTTATTTATACATATATGAGTGCAGCCCAATATTTCCCCTTTGAGGAAATCTCTGTACGAATGTGCATAGGATTGCTCTCTGAATTTCATAAACATGCCAAACAATTTACATTTACAGCCAAATGCATTCTGTATCCAAGCTCTATGACAAATTTGTGTTTTTTAATAAGTTAAATGTATATATTTTCCAAAATCTTCTCTCCCCCCCCAAAATGTTTCTTCTCTCTTCTTCCAGCATCAACATTTTGGGGAATCCCACTTTTCTAGATGCCATTCTTTTTGCTTGTAATTGACTTTTAAAAATACTGAAACTGAAAACAGTGGCTACAATCAGTAGTAAGTCACAGCAACAGTAGGCTTGTTGAATCAATGAAATTTAGTGTTTCAACTCCTTTGCAAGTTTCTCTGATTCAGTAGGCTTACTCTAGCTGTGACTTACTACTGGATTTCAGCAGTGAACAGTACTGTATTTTAAAAAATCAAGATTATTTATAACACACTTTTTCTCACCTAGAACACTTTCTCAGTGTTCTGTAACAAAAGGATGGGCAAACCATTTAAGTTATACTTTATCTAAAAGGTTGTAGTGTGGATTCCACATGAGTAGTGTGGTTTCTGGATCTTCTACACTGGATGAAGTTAACATTGTGGTTATATAAAAGTTAGGATGTCTCCTCAAGTGATGTATGTCAAAAAAGCTCTTTGCAAACACTGGATGCTATTGATAAACAAAATGTACATGATAGTTATTTTCAAAAATATTAGAATTTCAAAATAAAAGAAATCATACCTGGTTAAGTTAGAGAGGAGCTGAGGTCTGAGAAGTATGTTAAATTTATAAGTCAAGGCATTGCTTCCATGACTTATTTTATTATTGGACACATTCCATTCTCACAGGTATGCAGTATGTGATACTCAGTTTCTGTCCTCAGGAAGTGGTAGAACACGATTGAAAGGGAAACAGTTTTGTATATTACAATTCATTATTTCCCCCAAATTTGAATAATTCACAAATAGATCCTTTACCATGCTGCCTTTGATCAGTATACTGTGGTTATTGTGTCAACTTGCTGATTATGCAAAGACAGAACTATAAAGGGAAAGCTATACAAGTCAGTGGCACACTGTACAGCTTGTACAGCCTTATACAGCTAGAGCAAGCCTATGATGTAAGTACAGATGTGGATGGCTGGGATCCATGCCTCTTCTTAATGTAATGTCAAGTTGATTTCAACTTGTGGCAATCCTTCCCAGGATTGTCTAGGAATAAAGTACTGAGAAATCATCTACTATTCCCTTCTTTCAGGGACACTGTGAAGCAGAGTAGATTGTCTAAGCCAGGTGCTGCGCCACACTGGATTGCCCAGTAGCTCTTCTTAGAAATGTATATTTTCATGTCAGTTTTATGTGACATGTTTGTGTAGACTGTTAGCCAATTGGCAGAATAAAGTATTGAGTTTACAAATGTCTGCAAATCAATGGGTATAAGGAAACATCATTTTAACATGTGTAGTTTGATATATTCACATTGATATGCAAATGTGAGTATTGATCTGAATACAGTAGAAAAGATAGATATAGGTGTTAGCGCAGAATTGAAAAGTGTCCCTTCTGAATTGTACAATACATTAATTGCATTGTGAAATATAGGCGTCTATACTATTTGGCATTTCAGTGATCAGCATCCTATTCTTTATGCTGGTCAGTGTAATGCCCCAACATAACTGTCAGTTGCAAATTGCTATGTTAAGAAGTCAGCAGAGGCATTTCCTGTTGCACAGCAAATTACATGACTGCTGCACCAGAGTAAATGCTGATGCTGACTTTTTTAACTTGCAGCACTTTGTCATTGAAAGTTACAGCAATGGTCTGTAAAAAACTGGTGATTTTGGCCAGTTCTTCTTTGGGAATAATATTTTATTTCTTTTTCATTTGCTAGATATGTTCATGATAAAGATTGCGTAGCAACAACTGGAGATATTACTGTCTCTGTTTCGACATCTTTTCTACCTGAACTAAGTTCTGTACATCCGCCTCACTATTTCTTCACTTACAGAATCAGGTAGGAACAGTAAACTAACTTGTTCACTTTGTCATGTGTTATTTACCTATTATTGATAAGCCATGAGCATTTGTTGCTCACTGATAGATAAACAACTTTAAATGTAAACTTATTGTGGCTAGAGAATGCTTCTGAGCATATTTTACCTGTTGCAGAGGACACAAAAAAGGGAAGGGATAGGGGAAGTGTTGAAATGCATACTCAGACATTGATTACAGCACCATTAGATTTAGGCCTGTGTTTTGAAATAAAAGTGGAAGAATGTAACAGCGTTGAAGTGCTGAATAGTTTTTGCAGAGCTGCAGTAAAAAGACAAGATACTTCTCTACTTTTAACTCTCTTCTCCATATAATTTGTGACACATATTCATCATTATCATCTTAGAACTGCAGAGCCAGAAGGGACCATGTGGATCATTGAGTCCAGCCTCTGTCAAAGAAGCACTGTGGGGAATCAAGTTCCCAAGCGCTGGCTCTGCAGCCAGATACCATGAGCTGTCCAGCAGTTCAAATATACTCTTATATTTAAAATCCACTTCTATTTGAAAATTACTATTGTTTTACCCTACTGTATTTGAAAACAGTAGTTGTGCATCACACAGATCTGTCTTTAGGATAATATTTCTTGGGATGGATATGTTAGAAGCCGAGCACTTCTTCACTGTGCCACTTAGGAGAGAGGAATATTGTGCTTTTACACACCAGGAAAGAGCACTGTATCTTTACAGCTGTGGCTGCTATTTAATCTTTTACATTTATCTTCATTTCTCTTGAATGTTTGTGCTTTCCTTGGAAATTGCAATGTACCTCTACAGGCTGACTTAAACCCTCCTTCATGAAAAGATTCACCTCTCTCCTCCCCAATGTCCTGAAAACTATTAAAATTTGTATAGTACTTCTAGAAATGTCATAAGAATTTTTTACTTCGCTGCTTTGCTGCCTAAGTGATGCATAAATTCATGTAAGTGTTTTGTTTTGTTAGAATTGAGATGTCCAAAGATGCACTTCCAGAGAAGGCTTGTCAGCTAGACAGTCGGTACTGGAGAATAACCAATGCCAAAGGTGATGTAGAAGAAGTTCAGGGTCCTGGAGTAGTAGGTAAGAAATATTTTAAGATTTTGATTGTTCAGGGAAATATTTTGGAATTTAAACGCCAGGATTAGTTTACTTGTCTTGAAATATAAAATAAAGGTTTAAAGAACGTTTGTGCTTAAACTGTTTTTTGTTTCTTCTGAAGAGCAAAAAATAATTTTGAGGCCCATATTGCCACCCTTGATCAGAACACTATGCTGAATTCTGTTTAAAATGATCACCTTTTGACTGCTGCTTACCTCTAAATGTAATGTTAATAGTAAACAGTATAATCAGGAGGTTACATCATTAATGTGGTGTGTTTTCAACTTCCTGAATTCTTCACTTTTTGAAAGAGTATGTTTATAATAACATGTTGTTTAAGCCCAACCAAAGTGTATTTGGTTGCAAAAACTGAAATCCCATATTCATTTTGTTTCTATAGGAGAATTTCCAATAATTAGTCCTGGTCGAGTTTATGAGTATACAAGTTGTACTACATTTGCCACTACTTCAGGGTATATGGAAGGATACTACACATTCCATTGCCTTTACTACAAAGACAAGTTTTTTAATGTCACCATTCCCAGATTTCATATGGTTTGCCCAACATTCAAAGTATCAACAGCACGGATGGTAAGTTGAAGTGATTGCTCCTAAGCCTCTACCTTCCTTAACTGGTTTCTGGTAGAGGGCAAGGGTGGTTTTCATTTCAAAAATAAGCAATCATAAATATTCTGGATAAAAGTGGTGTAATACTTTTTATAAGACATAATATGAATCCTAATCTTACATTGTAATATGGGGAAGCAAGTTAGTAATTACTTGCTTTCCTACATTAAACATGGGCAAAAAGAGACTTAGAATAGATAACTAAATCTTCATTATGGGAACATTTAAGTATGAAAGGGTCTAATATAGCCTAAATGAGAGCAGAATTGTTAGATATCATAAACATTTGATATTGCTTCATTATTATACAGTTGCTCTCCTGTACAGGGGTGAATGACTAACTTCAAATATGTGGGAGCTTATTAATGGTTAGAAGCATTATTTCAGCATTTTTAGTGACGGAAATTAATTGCTGTGCTTTGCTTGATCACTATATTATGTTTTTACAAGCGGCACCATTTGTCAGCCTTTCTCATTTTGCCAGAAGGCAAATGTTTTGAAAACTTTTTAATATCATTCCCTGTAAATGATACGGTAAAGGTGTCATATGTGGTTTATAACGATTCCAGGAAAACTATAAGACACATGGAGATTTTTATAAACTATTACTATTTATTTAACATATTTATATGGCGCTTTTCTCCTACAGCAGTAGTTCCCAACTTTAGGCAACCCAGGTCTTTTTGAACTTCAACTCCCAGAAGCCCTGTCCAGCACAGCTGATGGTGACAGCTTCTGGGAATTGCAGATGAAGAACACCTGGGTTACCCAAGGTTGAGAACCACTGTCCTGCAGAATCCAAGGCAGCTTACAATATTAAAAGAAACAAAGTTAAGAGTTTAATAAATTATTAAAATATTAGAAAAGCATTGAACAGATATATTTAAACTCATAAATAAGATCAATATTAAAAACTGAAGTAAAAGAACAGAATAAAATAATCCCTTTAATCATCTTGGACTGCTATAACAAGGGAGTTACATGTTCCTTGTAACCAACCCCAATTAACAAACTGACTGTGGCATTTTGAAACTGCTGGAGTTTCTGAACAGTTTCCAAAGGCAGACCCACACAGAGCATTTTACAGTAATCCAGCCAAGATGTAACTAAGGCATGTGTCACTATGGCCAGATCAGATAGCTTCTGAGAACTGAAATCCAAAACATCTGGATGGCCAGAGTTTGAGAACATATGGTTTAGAGTTTTCTGGAGAGATAGTTGTGTTAGTGTACTACAGCAAAAACAATGATCTGTAAACTTTATTCAGCAAAAGATTTTGCCTTACATTTGTTTCCATAGCATTTAGAGCCCTAAACAGATTGAGGCTATAAGGCTTGCATAGTGCTTCCAAGTTTGTTTTAATTTTTGAAACAAACATTGTAAATGTTACTCTGCATTAAAGCAAGGCATTGAATCTTGCTCAATAGGTGAATTTCCAGGTTCAGGGAGTCATGCAAACAGACATATGTTTCTGATATTATTCTGAGATAAAATAATCCTGTTTTAAATTGTAGCAGTGAGAATTCAGCCAAGCCTCAAACTTTATACTGAACTGTATAGCTGTTGTGAGCTAGATAAAGTTGTATAAAACCATATAAAACATTGATGGGTAAGTGCAAGCTTGCAAATGTTATTGTATGCCAACTGCAACTAGTCCATTGGCTGTGCTTTCCTGGAACATATGGAGGTTGGCACTTTGCTTACCCTTGACGTGGTTCCTTTGGAGGGCTGTGGTGTTAACATAAACATGATTGGATTTAGTTAAAAGTTGTTTTGGAAAGAAATTCTGTTCAGATTTAGATAACATTGCTTTTGTTCTTGCATTTAGGAGACCAATCATAATGAACGTGCTATGGATGAGGATGAAGATTCAACAGACACTGATGAATATGAAGACAGGCGTAGAATTCTGGACATTCCTGCTCCTTCTGGACGTTGCCCACGCCAGACTTGATCTTATTTTTTTTTCTAGGTTCTGTGGGGAGATGACATGTACAAATATTTCTGAATATCAAATAATTATTTGGCAGTGGAAGCAACTAGCATGAATTGCTGGTTTTGGCTCTGGCTTGCATCTGATCAGATATAGAGACTGAGTTTTCTTTTTGTCTTGCATTTGTTGTCAGAGGGATAACTTGTGGGGTGGAAATGGGATATGGCATTATACTTTACAGCGTTACAGTCTTCTAGGAAGGGGTCATTGTAAATGTAAATCTTATTTAAAACCAGAATGGTGCTTTCATTTTCATTCTTTTTTATATTAACTGACAACAGCAAACTAAATGGGGAAGATCGTTTTGCCATTTTCATAATGATCATAACCAATACTCATTTGTGCTGGAAGTGAGCAGAACATCTGCAGCTTAAAACTACATAGCTGTTGGGCTGGGTGTGTTTTTGTATATGTTAATATTAATACGTACATACATGTACCAGAAATATCAAAATATTTTAAAGGAACTTGGGTCTTACATTTGTAATCCTGCATTCTGTCTCTGATCATATACAGGCCTTCTGGAATGCAGGATGAGCATCTTACCTACTGCATTTTTCTCATTATGTTATATAAATATGTAAATAGCTTAATTTGAGCCTTTCAGATATCATTTAACTATTGTGATAAGTGAACAGAATATTGTTTAAATATAAACCATGTTTTCCTGAAAACTGTGTAGATTTTTTTTTATTTCACAAGAGATAAATTTAAATAATAATTGAACTATTTTCATCAGTGGGTATGTATTTTATACAGCAAAGAGAAGATGGAAATTACAATTGTAAAGCAGTTGTAGGATTTAAAATAGCAAAAGAGAAGGTCATAGAGTCGGAAGAGATCACTGAGGCCATCCAGTCCAACCTCCTGCCATGTGGAACATCCATCAAAGTACTCCCAACAGATGGCCATCTAGTCTCTGCTTAAAAACCTCCAAAGAAGGAGACTACACCACCCTTCGAGGCAGCCTATTCCACTGCCAGACAGCTCTGACCATCAGGACATTCTTCCTAATCTGCAGATGGTAGTTTGAAACCATTGCTCCATGTCCTAGTCTCTGGAGCCCTGGAAAACAAACCTGTCTCCTCTTCACCATGACATCCTTTCAAATATTTAAACATGGCTATCATGCCCCATCTCAATCTTCTTTTTGTAATGCTAAACATTCCCAACTCCCTAAGCCGCTCCTTGTAGGACATGTCTTCCAGACCTTTAACCATTTTACTCGCCCTCCTCTGGACACGTTCCAGGTTATCAACATCCTTTTCAAATTGAGGTGCTCAGAACTGGACACAATACTCCAGGTGAGGTCTGACCAAAGCAGAATAGAGTGGTACTATCACTTCTCTTGATGTAGACACTATACTCCTATTGATACAACCAAGAATCGCATTGGCTTTCTTGGCAGCTGCATCACACTGCTGACTCATGTTCAGCTTGTAGTCTACCAAGACTCGTAGATCGCTTTCACAGGTACTGTTGTCTTCCATCCCATACCTGTGTAGTTCATTTTTTTCTGCCTAGCTCTAGGACCTCACATTTCTCCCTGTTGAAATTCATTTTGTTAGTTTTGGCCCAGGACTCTAATCTGTCAAGGTCATTTTGAATTTTAATCCTGTCCTATGGGGAATTGGCAACCCCTGTCAATGTGGTATCATCTGCAAATTTAATCAACATACTCTCTATTCCTTCATCCAAGTCATTGATAAAGATGTTGAATAACACGGGACCCAGAACAGAACCCTGGGGCACCCCACTAGTCACCTCTTTCCAGGACGAAGGGGATCCATTTGTGATCACCCTTTGGGTTTGGTAAGTCTACCAATTACAAATCCACCTAACAGTAGCACTATCTATCCCACATTCTACTAGCTTCTTTGCAAGAGTATTCTGAGGAACCTTGTCAAAGTATGCTACTTTCACAGCATTCCCTTCATCCACCAAGCATGTAACTCTATCATTTCACAGCATTTCCTTCATCCACCAAGCATGTAACTCTATCAAAAAGAGAGAGATCAAATTAGTCTGGCATGACTTGTTTTTTAAAAAAAACTGTGTTGACTTCTAGTAATGACAGCATTGAAAAAACTGTGTTGACTTCTAGATGACAGCATTGTTTTCTAAGTAATTACAAACTGTCTGCTTAATGATCTTCTCTAGAATCTTTCCAGGAACTGATGTCAGACTGATAGGGCAATAATTATTTGGGTCTTATTTTTCCCCCTTTGTGAAGACAGGGACATTTGCCCTCCTCCAATCTGTGGGGACTTCCCCTGTTCTCCAAGAATTCTCAAAGATTATTGCCAGTGGTTCTAATATTACTTCTGCCAGTTCTTTTAATATTCTTAGATGTATTCCTCTTTGGTGCTTTCCCCGTTTTTCGATTTCTTGTACATTTTTTTAACACTTAGCTGAGTTGAAAGTTCTTTAGTCAACCATTCTGGCTTCTTTAGACATCTCCCCCTTTTCCTTCTTGTTGGAACAGTCTTAGATTTTACCTTTAGTATCTCGGTTCTAAAAAATTCCCATCCATCCTGAACTCCCCTCTCCTTTAGTACCTCTGTCCACGGAATTTCAGCCAATAATTCCCTAAATTTACAAAAATTGGCTTTCTTGAAGTCTAGAATGTGTGTGTGATTACACTTGGTTTCCCCTTCCCACTGTATAACAAATTCCAAGACAGCATGGTCACTCCACCACTCCAACCTCATTAACAAGGTCCTCCCTGTTGGTTAAGATTAGATCTATAATAGCTGTTTGCCTTGTTCCCTCTTCCACCTTCTGGACCATGAAATTGTCTGCAAGGCCAGTAAGGAATTTGTTTGGCCTTGTGTTCTTGGCAGGGTTTAACTGCCAACATATATCAGGATATATGTTGAAATCTCCCATTACTAGTGCATCTTTCCCTTTTGAACGTGTGGCCATCTGCTCCAGGAAGGCTTCATCTAACTCCTCAGACTGGCTTGGAGGTTGGTAGTATACTCCCACAATGACATCCCTCTCATTTTTCTCCCCCTTAATTCTTACCCAGATGGTCTCAACCTGGCTTCCTAGATTTATACCCTGGATTTCTTGACCAGTATATAAAGCTACTACTCGTTTTTTACTAGGTCTGTTTCTCTGAAATAGGTAATACCCTCCAATAACTACATTCCAATCATGAGTCTCATCCCACCAGGTTTCAGTGATGCCTATTATGCCATATTTATTTTGCTGTATTAGGAGTTCCAGCTCATCTTGTTTGTTTCCCACGCTCTGTGTATTGGTGTAGAGACATTTAAGACCATGTGTTCTTCCTGCAAGCCCTTTACTAAAGTCATTTTTCCTCCCACTCTTGGGCTGTCATACTACTTGCTCTACTCTTCTACAACGTTTTGGCTATTCACCACAACCTTTTCTGGGTTCCTGTCCTCAAGAAAATTGTCACCCTCCCCTTGAGAACTCAGTTTAAAGCCCTCCTTATCAGATTAGTGAGCCTGTGAGCAAAAACATTCCTTCCAGCAGTAGTAAGGTGCACCCCATCCCTTCCCAGTAGACCATCCATATGGAAATGCAAACCATGGTGGAAGAAACCAAAGTGTTCCTGGCAACACCATCTGTGGAGCTACGTATTCACCTCCGTTATTCTTCTCTCCCTTCATGGGCCACATCATTCAGCAGGGAGATAAAATAATGACCTGCACCCCCAGATCCTTCAGTTTCCTCCCCATATCTTCATAATCCTTTGTGATATTCTGAAAGATGTGCTTTACAGTATCATTGGTTCCCACGTCGACCTAAAGGAAGGGGAAAGAGTGAGTGGGCTTGATGAGTCTTGTCAGTGGTCTTCCATCCTTTTTTGTGTGATACAATCTTTCTGTTCACAGTTTTACTCTACTAGACACGAGAGAGTGATCAGTATCGCAATCAACACTCTGGTAACTGTGTGTGATTCTTTTGTCGTTAAGTCATGTCCGACTCTTTGTGACCCCATGGACCAGAGCACGCCATGCCCTCCTGTCTTCCACTGCATCCTGGAGTTGGGTCAAATTCATGCTGGTAGCTTCAATGACACTGTCCAACCATCTCGTCCT